GACTCCCAAGGCGGCCCCAGACGGCGTAAGACGGGACAGGAACGCTCTCAGACGGCCAAAGAGACCCCCAAAAAGCGCAGAAAGGCCCCCCAGAGGCCCAAGCAGGCCCCCGATATGCGTCCAAGAGGCCTCGAGGGGGCCCCCAAGTAGCTCCCAACAGACCCCAAGGGTGCCCCAAGAGTCCCCTAAGAACCCCCATCCTCCTACTTTTCCGCTTCCTCTCCTCCTGTTCCTGTTCATTCTCCCCCAAGCCAAGTGTTCCCCGAAAATGTTCAAAGTCGACTCGGGGAACTCATGTTCCGATAGCTTGGCCAAACTCTAGCCCAAATGTAGGCCACATCGGCGCTTCGAGAAATGCAAGGGGCGGCGGTAATTCGCCGTCGGCGTCGTCGATAAAAATAGAAAGGAAGAATGAACGATTGTGTATCCAGGGCATTCAGATATGCTTTCACCGTTTCAGTATTACGCATACTCCGTTGTCCGAGCCGCCTGCGCAACGCCGCCTGGCGAATCGCCTCGGACCGGCTGCTAACGTAAATGAATCTCCGCGCAAATGCACTGAGACGATCAATATCGGTGGCGCAGGCCAGCGCACTGTTAAGAGCAGCTGTCGCGGTACTATCGTATCTGGGTTCCCACTTGCAGGTCCGGTGCATGGCGACGCCGGGATGCCACGCACCCTTGTGATCGAAAGCGCCTGCGCCCATGTCTCGCGAAACAAACGCTTGCGCTGTGCTTAGCAAAAGGGACCCTCCATCTGATGCCAATGCTTTGTCACGATTTTGTTTAGCGCGTTCCCACAAAGGCAAACAATCCGCGCAAATTACAGGAAACCCTCCTTTCCCGAACCGGTTGGCCACAAGGCCTCTCATGGCCTCGTTCGGCATGAACTCTACGAAATTATGAACCTGACTGTAATTTGCTGACGCCTTGCATTGAAAACACTTTAAGCCGAGGTTTCTATAACTGGCCACCGGAAGAGGCGTGTCCAAAGCAGCTGCGGGGCGCTTCCTTGTAGATTTGTTCCCTTGACGTATGAGAACCCCAGTTTCGGCTTGTTTCTTCCATTCGGTACATTGGAGTTCCTCGTAAGAACAAGTGCCCTGGGGCATGAACTTTTGTCGACGCCATTCCCTGACAATGGATCTTACCTGTTCCATGCTGGTGCCAACCTGAGGAACATGTACGAAGACAGTTTGGCATCCACGACCTTGTAACCACCAACATTCCATGTCTGAGGTTGCATTGGTATTATTGGTCGTTGTCCCATATGACTGTATACCTAAAGAATCAAATGCTGAGGCGGGTCCCTTCACTCAAACCTTTGTATACATGTTGCTCGAGTCTATAAGGTGAACTTCGCTGATGCGATCTCGAACCACAACAACTGATGCGATCTCGAGCCGCAACAACAAGACGGCCCCACGAACGGCACGAGATGACTACAAGATGGCCCGACGAGCGGTTTGTCAGAGTTTCGAGTTCAACTTGCCAGCGAGGAGCTGGATTGCGGAGTCCCTTTGAGTCGGCTTGGGGCCCGAGGCGGGCCATAAGACAGCCTAGAAGCCCCAAAGAACGTTCAAAATCGCTCCCAGATGACCCCACCGAATAATCTCTGAGCGCTCCGATTCGAACTCCCCGGCGAAGATTTGGATTCTGCAGGTGTCCATGGGCCGTTTTGGAGCCCAAGACGGCCTGTGCGGGAGCCGGAGAAGATCCAAAGGCGGCACAGGCAGCACGGGGAACGCTCGAACTCGGCCCAAAAAGACCCGAACAAATAGTCCCTGACCGCGCCAAATCTAACTCCCCAGCGAGGAGTTGCATTTTGGGGTCCTCCATGAGTCGTCTTGGGGCCCGAGACAACCCGTAAGACAGCCTTACGCAGCTCAAACACGGCCAAGGCTATTCCAGGAACGGCCCAAGATAGCTCCAAAAGTGCTTCCATGGGGCCGAGGGAGTAGTCTTCCAGGGTTCCGATCCCCACTCCCCAGCAGAGTTGGATTTCAGAGTTGTCCATGAACCGCGAGGGAGGGAAAGACGGCCGAAACTGCAGGCAAGCGCGCCGCGGCTGCTTTGAACACGCCTCTTCCGGTGGCCAGTTATGGAAACCTCGGCTTAAAGTGTTTTCAATGTAAGGCGTCAAAAAACTATAGTACGGTTCATAATTTCGTAGAGTTCATGGCGAACGAGGCCATGAGAGGCCTTGTGGCCAACAGGTTCGGGAAAGGAGGGTTTCCTGTAGTGTGTGCAGATTGTGTGCTAAGGTGGGAACGCGCAAATCAAAATTGTGACAAAACACGGGCATCAGATGGAGGGCCCCTTGTGCTAAGAACAGCGCGAGCATTTGTTTCGCGGACATGGGCGCAGGCGCTTTCGATCACATGGGTGCGTGGCTCCTGGCGTTGCCATGCACCGAACCTGCAAGTGGGAACCCAGACACGGTTGTTTCCGCGACAGGTGCTCTTGACAGTGCATTGGCCTGCGCCACCGATATCGATCGTCTCAGTACATGTGCGCGGAGATTCATGTACGTAAGCCGCCAGCGAGACGCGATGCGCCAGGCAGCGTTGCGCAGGCGGCTCGGACACCGGAGTATGCGTAGTACTGAATCGGTGAAAAGATATCTGAATGCCCTGGTTACTGAATCATTCATTCTCCCTTTCTATTTGTATCGAAGACGCCTACGGCGAATCACCGCCGCCCCCTGCCTTTCTGGGAGCTCCGACGTGGCCGAAGTTTGGGCTAGAGCTACAGCGAATCACCGCCGCCCCCTGCCTTTCTGGGAGCTCCGACGTGGCCGAAGTTTGGGCTAGAGCTTGGCCAAGGTATCGGAGCATGAGTTCCCCGAGGTGATTTGGAAAGCTTTCGGGGAACACTGCCCTTGGGGGAGAATGAACAGGAACAGGATGAGAGGAAGCAAAAAAGTAGGAGGATGAGGGTTGTTAGGAGTCTCTTGGGGCACCCTTGGGGTCTGTTGGGAGCTACTTGGGGGCCTGTGCGAGGCCTCTTGGAAGCATGTCGGGGGCCCCCTTGGGCTTCTTGGGGGCCTTTGTGGGCTTCTTGGGGTCTCTTTGGCCGTCTTAGGGCGTTCCTGTCCTGTCTTACGCCGTTTGGGGCCGTCTTGGGGTCCTCCATGAATCGTCTTGGGACCCAAGACAGCCCGTAAGACAGCCTTACACTGCTCAAACACGGCGAAGGCTATTCCTGCAGCAGCCCAAGATAGTTCTTCCTCCCCCTCCTCCTCCTCCTCCTCCTCCTCCTGCTTCCCCTGGGTGCCTCCCTGGAGGCCCCCCCCCTGGGAAACACTTCTCCCCTGGAGGTGCTTTCGTGGATGCTGGCTCCGCCCGCCTGCTGCGCACGGCCGAGACTGGCGGTCGCTGTTCGCCAAGAGGGGGGGGGAGGAGGAGGAGGGAGAGGAGGAGGAGGAGGAGGAGGAGGAGGGGGAGGAGGAGGAGGAGGAGGAGAAAGAGGAGGAGGAGGAGCCCAGTTCGTCTTCCTCGTCGTCCTCCTCCCCCTCCTCCGTGTCATCCTGCCCCCGTGGCCTCCTAACGAAGGCTGCCCGGGTTCATGCGCACACGGGGGGCCCTGGAGTTGCAGCTGGTCTCCCATGGGGTGCCCTTTTCGAATGAGAGGTCGAAGTTGCTTCAGTCACAGTGTCGTGATTCTGGACCACGTTCTACCCAGATGCGGCGCATGAATGTTCGCGATCAGCCGATGCGGTTGTCGGGTTGGGTGTGTCACCGTTGAGCACCACGAATGCCTCCAGGAGCCCCAGGGAGGACACGTTCGTGGGGCCGCCTTGGCCGTCTTTGAGGCTTCCAGGGCTCTGTTATGGGCCGTCTGGGGCCCCAAGACGGCTCATGCGGGACTGCGAGAGCGAACTCCTCGCCGGGGAGTTGGATTCGAGGCTCTCAGAGACCGTTCCTTGCGCCATCTTGGTGGTATCTTGTGCCGTTCCTGGCATCTTGGGACCGGCTAGCAGGCCTCTTGGGCCGTTTTTGAGCTATCTCAAGGGCCGCCACAGCTTCTTGGAGCGACGAGGGCTCCAAGGGTCTCATGCGCTGGAGGTCCCTGGGCGGGCCCCCCCACCGGGCCCCCCGGTATATTCGCCAAAACCTTGCCATGGAATGCCCTGGCTTCTTGGAGCGACGAGGGGGTCTCTTGGAGCCCAGGTTTGCTCCAAGTCGCCAAAACCCTGTAAAAAACACAGGGAAAGTGACGCCCCGGGCCCCCCATGCGCTGGCGAGGTCCCTGGATATATATACATATATATATATATATATATATATATATATATATATATATATATATATATAATATAATTATATATATATATATATATATGTATACATATATAGATTGCACCAAATATGTTGAACCACCCCCTTGTCGCTGGACCCCCTGTTTGGTCAACCCGACTCTTGAAGCCTCATGGTGCCCTCTCGGAGCCTCCAGTGGGGACAGCAAAAGGTACCGAGACCGCTGCTCCCCGGGCCCCACCTGGGGTGCGTCCCGACCAAGATTTCGAAGCGAATCCGGCGGTGGCGACGAGGGCCGCCCAGGAGGCCTAAAAAGGGGAAAACGAGCGGAGGGTAGATTACCAGCCTGGAACATATCCCTATCCCTATGCTGGGCATCTCCTCATCACGATGCCAATCTTAGGGATTCCCTTACTTTTTGAGGGCGCATCCCTAAGATTGTCATCGCCTTTTGGCGTGTCAATCTTAGGGATAGGGATCGGTTCGAGGCTGGTGATATGAGTACCTTTCTCTACTCTGATCCTCGGCGTGGGGAGGGCCCATCGCCGGGCCCCACGAGAACGATCCTCCCCGTGGCAAACCTCGGCAAAGCGTGGGAAGGTCTGGCCTGTCTTCCACCCTTGGGGCCCCCATTGGGGGTCTCTCGGGGCGAGGCCGTCGTCGTCGCCGTCGGTGCCGCCGTCGCCGTCTTGATCGTCGCCGACAGCGGATCCGCAGGAGAAGGAACGGGAGGAGCAGGAGCGGGATTTTGCCTTGCGTGCGCTTGAGACCAACCGAGTCCGCGTGCGCTCAGCCTCCGACGCGTCCGTCGCGACTGTTAAGTCGGGCCTGTCCCCCTACAGGGGGATTTTCGACGAAACATTAAAAATACCCCGAGACTAATCAAAAAACTGCTCCACACATAGCCTGGGGACTGTTTTTCTAGTATCTTCTCCGACCTTCTTGGAAGACGCCTGGGGTATTTTTTTGAGCTTTCGTCGAAAGATTCCCCCGGCAGGTGGACAGGCCCGACAGAAGCCCCCGAGGGGGCAGCCTGGCTCACCGGGCCGAGGCGCCGCCGAGAGCCTTCACCCCTGCGGGGCGTCCTCCTCGGACGCCCCGCAGGGTGGTCTCGGGAGGGGGGGGCAGGGAGCGGAGGCCTGGAAGCTGGCACCAGCACCAACTAGGGAGGCACCAACTATACACCAGCACCGATCCTGGCCAGGATCACCCTGGGCCCAGGATCGGTGTATACGACCTCCTGCCTTGGGCAAGAAGGCATATACACCGATCATGGGCCCAGGGTGATCCTGGCCAGGATCGGTGTTGGTGTATAGTTGGTGCCCTCCGACCAACACAGGGGGCTGCATCCACAGGGGGAGGATGATCCTCGAGTTCGGTGCTGGTGGCCATAGTTCGGTCACCTTGGAAGCCAGGACACTGCCACCACCACCGGGTTCGGGATCGCCCTCCCTCGGTGGAGGCAGACCGCCGATCTTGGTGTTGGTGCCAACCTCTAGGCCTGCGACAGGACCGGGCTGCGGGCGTCACCTTCAACAAAGGGACACACTTAAAAATAAACGACATGCTCTTGCTGCACCGAATTGCATGTTTGTCTTGCCCGGTTCAGCTGGCTGGCGCCGAGTAGTCTCTTGAAAAAGTTAAGCTGCCACTCGACCAAGCTAGTATACTCGGGATCAGCCTAGTCCCAACGCGGCTTGTGATCCCAGACGTCCAGCGTCCAGACAAAAACCAAGACTGGGACAAGACTACTCTCCCGGACGTCCAGAGTCCATTTCTCTCCGCTCCCCCCTCTCCTTTCCTCCCTCCCTCTCCCTCCTCTCCTCCCTCCCTCCCTCCCTCCCTCCTTCTCCTCCCTCTCCTCCCTCCCTTCCTCTCCCCCCTCTCCTATCCTCCCTTCCTCTCCTCCCTCCGTCCCTCCCTCTCCTCCCTCTCCTCACTCTCTCTCCTCGAAGATCGAAGGGCAAGTCTTAAACGGCTTTCTAACGTGCCCGCCTGAAGCCCTGCACGCTGCGGGCAAGCCTTGTGCCAACCGTGGCACCCACTAGCTAAATGACGCGCGGTCAACGCGCTGGAGCAGCGAGGCTACTAATGAGAGGTATGTGCGGTATACCGTCATACCAAGCAGTAGGCACCACGCAGCATGAGTCCATTACGCAGCATGAACCTACGCCACAGAAAAAAACAGGCGTGCTCAGGGTACGTTCCAGGAGTTGTGTCTTGCGGCCCTCCTCCGGGACATCCTAGAACTTGGGAGCGTACCAGTAATTACCATGCTCTCTTGCTCCTGCGAGAGACCGCGGGTCCTCAGGGCACACTGCCTCTCGGAACCCGTAGAGAGCATGTTCCAATGCGCGGCGACAGAAGGCGTTATGGGGGGGGACGCACCGGGCGGGGAGGAGCGTTGGTTGCGTCCTGGGGTGGGGTGGTGTGTGTGGGGGGGATGACGCGCATGATGACCCAGAGGGTAAACAAGAACACTCTTTTGCTGTGGTGACGAGGCGTCGTGGAGGGCGGGGGAAGGGGGGGGGGCCATAATGCGCGTGAAGCCCCAGAGGATCGACAACAGCACTCTCTTGCTATGGCGACGAGGCGCTACGATAGTGGGAGGGGGGGGGGGTATCGCGCGCGTGATGCCCCAGAGGGTAAACAGAAACACCCTTTCACAAAGGCGACGTGGCGTTACGTCAGGGGGGGAGGAGGGGGCATAACGCGCGCTACGCCCTAGATAATCAGCACAAGCTCGCTCTTGCTATGGCGACGAGGCGTTAGTGGGTCATAAAGCCCGTTAAGCCCCAGAGGGCAAACAACAGCACTCCCTTGTTATGGCGACGAGGCATTACGTTAGGGGGAGGGCATAACGCGCGTCAAGCCCAAGAGGGTAAACAACGACACTCTCTTACGATGGCGACGAGGCGCTACGCTTTGGAGGCGGAGGGCGGAGGAGAGGGGGGGGGGGGCAGAACGCGCATGATACCCCAGAGGGGAAAACAACACAAACACAGTCTCTTGCTATGGCGACGGGGCGCTACGTTACGGTGGGGGAGGGGGGGGGGGCATAACGCACGTCATGCCCCAGAGGGTAAACAAAGGCACCCTCTTGCTATGGCGACGAGACGTTGCGCTATGGGGGCGGGGGTGGAGGCATCACGCATGCGATGCCCCAGAGGGTAAGCACAAACAATCTCCTGCCATGGTGACGCAGCGTCACGTGTGGCCCTGGAAGGCAGACAATCGCACTCTTTTGTTTCGCACTCTTTTTTGGCGGCGCGCACATGGGGGTGGAGGGAGGGGGAGGGCTTCTTAGAAGGAGGCTGCATCTTAGAAGGCGGCGACCCTGTATCTACAGATAAGGCCCGCGCCTTCTAAGAAGCAGGGGTGCTTCTAAGAAGCCCTCTCCTCTCCCCTCACCCCCCTCTGCGCGTGGTTGAACTCTTTTGGTTCGCACTCTTTTGCCGTAGCGACGAGACCTGCACACGTTTATCCGCCGCCCCCGGCCACACCGAAGAGCGGTGCCCCCGCCCCCCCGCCCTCTGGATTGACTTGTAAAGCGGCCCCAGGACACACAAACAAATACACACAAATCCCAGGATTCACCATATGTTCCCACATAGTCTGGGCGTTCGTCTTCCCCCCCCCCACTTCCCGCAGTTTCCCATACTTTTCCCGGGAATCGACGATTCATTTGGGCTGTGTGTGTTCTCCTCCTGGATCGCACTCTTTTGTTTCGCCCCCCCCCCCACCACTTCCCGTAGTTTCCCATATTTTCTCGGGAATCGACTATTCATTTGGTCTGTGTGTTTCTCCCCCTGGATCGCACTCTTTTGCTTCGCACCCTCTTGCTGTAGCGACGAGGCCTGCACCCACATCTACCCGCCGCCCCTGGCAGCACCGAAGCGCGGTGCCCTCGCGCTCTCCCCCCTGGATTGGCCAGGCAGGCCCACATGCACGAATTCTGGGCCCAGGATGCCTCCTCCTCCTTCTCCTCCGCCTCCTCCTCCCTCCTCCTCCGCCTCCCTCCTCCTCCTCCTCCCTCCTCCTCCTCCTCCCTCCTCCTCCTCCTCCTCCTCCTCCTCGTCCTCCCTCCTCCTCCGCCGCCCAAGAGGCCCTCGAGAACCCCCACGCGACCCCAACCCCGAGAAGCCCCCCCGCGAGATCCCAACGAACACCTAAGAGGCCTTATACCCACAGCCCAAGCTCGGTGGCGAGATGGACCGAAGGCTATCAGATAGGCCTACAATCGATGCGCTGCCATAAGGAACGCCAGATAAGGAACGAAGGGTTTTCCTGACCACGGCAAACTTTGGCCACGAAGACGCTCCCCGACCTAGAACTGAGGAGCGGCAAGAGAAGCCCGAGCTCCTTCTGGACCCGAAGCGGTCCTTCTCTCAGCGCCTTGAGCGCACATGCAAAGTATTGGCCCAGGATGTGCCTGGCCAGGGGCGATGGACTATATATATATATATATGCCAGGGGCGATGGACTATATATATATACATATATATATATATACATGTATATCTTTGTATATATACATATTTATGTATACATACAAACATAGATATGTAATATAATTCTATATGAAGATAGATCTCGTCGCCCGACTTACGGAACCTCGGGAATGACAAACCACGCTCCTGCTCGAACGCCCAGGCCCTGGGGGGGCAAAAGGGCCGAGAGGTCGGGCGCCCGGGTGTCGAGACGGAGCCCGGGCGAGGCGGGCATCGGGCGAGGACGACTCGAGCACCTCCGAGCTCCCGCGTTTTCTTAGAGGACGCCGCGGGCGTCGCGGCCTTCGCGGAGCGCTCCCGGCGGGGCGCGAATCAACGGGGGGCGGTGAGTGGAGGAGGAGGAGGAGAGGAGGAGGAGGAGGAGGAGGAGGAGGAGGAGGAGGAGGAGGAGGAGGAGGAGGAGGAGGAGGAGGAAGGGCATTCTGGGAGCGTTCTGGAACCGCTCCCATGATGCCCTGGAGCGCTCTGGAACGGATCGATCCTCGTCCTGACTCCGTCCGGGGAGTGGCTCGAGGAACACATCGGGGCGCCAGGTGGCTGGGGAGCGACGCGTGGGCCTCACGCTTTGTTGGAGCAGGGGCCGGCCGTCCCAGCATTCCTGTGGGCCTACCACGAAATGCTCCTCGAACCCCTACGTGCTCCAAGAGCCAAAACAGTGTCCTTAGAACACAGGCCCGATGTGTTAAAACCGAGGAGAGGGAGGAGGAGGAGGAGGAGGAGGAGGAGGAGGAGGAGGAGGAGGAGGAGGAGGAGGAGGAGGAGGAGGAGGAGGAGGAGGGAGGAGGAGGAGGAGGAGGAGGAGGAGGAGGAGGAGAAGGGAGGAGGGGAGGGAGGAGGAGGAGGAGGAGGAAGGAGGAGGAGGAGGAGGGAGGAGGAGGAAAAGGGGGACGGGTCGCCTAAGCCCTTCGGAGACACCCCCCACGCCGTGGGCATCGCGCCTCGTTGCCTGCACGTCACCGGCTGTCGCCGCGCCGGGAGAAGGAGGGCAAAAGATGATACATAGCACTCCTTTCCCTCCCTCCCTCCCTCCCTGCCTCCCTCCCTCTCCTCCCTCCTCCTCCTCTCCTCCCTCTCTCTCTCCCTCTCTCCCTCCCTCCTTCTTCCTCTCCCCCCTATCTCCTCCCCCCCCCTCCTCTCCTCTCCTCCCTCTCCTCCCTCCCTCTCCCTCCTCCCTCCCTCCCTCGCTCCTTCTCCTCCCTCTCCTCCCTCCCTCCCTCCCTCCTCTCCTCCCTCCCTCCTCTCCTCTCTCCCTCCCTTTCCTCCCTTTCCTCACTCCCTGCCCTCGAAGATCAAAAGTGCAAGTCTTAAACGGCTTTCCGCCTGAAACCCTGCGCGCTGCGGGCAAGCCCTTGTGCCAACCTTGGCGCCCACTAGCTAGATGACGCGCGGTCAACGCGCTGGAGCAGAGAGGCATCTAATGAGAGGTACGGTAGAGGGAATCAATTACTGAACACTCCCCCCCCCCAAACATTGGGGGGGGGGAGGCGTTGACGTATGAATGTGGCATGAATGTTCGCGAAATTTGTTCCGAGGCCCGTGGGTATGTTGCCCGGCGTGTGGCTGCCCTCGTGGCTGCCCGACTAGAACCCAACCTATGGCGCAACCGGTAGGAGACGGCTTCATTGTCGGCGGCCGAGGGCGCCACCGATACATAGGAGGCGGTGTGATTCTCGGCCGCAGACGACCCAATCTAAGGCGTTACCGATAGGAGACGGTTTTATTCTCAGCCGGCGAAGGCGCAACCGATAGGAGATGGCTTTATTCTCGGCCGCCGAGGGCGCAACGCAACCGATAGGAGGCGGATATATTCTCGGCGGCTGAGGGCGCAGACTAAGGCGCAAGCGATAGGAGACAATTGTCTTCTCGGCCGCGGAGGACACAACCTATGGCGCAACCGGCAGGAAACGGTTTTAGTCGGCGGCCAAGGGCGCAACCGACGGCGCAACCGATAGGAGACGGCTTTATTTTCAGCCGCCGAGGGCGCAACCGACGGCGCTAACGGTAGGAGATGGTTCAATTCTCGGCCGCCGAAGGCGCAACCTATGGCGCAACCAATAGGGGACGGTTTGGGGCGCAACCTATGGCTCAACCGATCGGAGACGGTTCTCGGTCCCAGAGCGCGCAACCGACGGCGCAGCCGATAGGAGACGGTTTTATTTTCGGCGGCCGAAGCCGCAATCTATGGCGCAACCAGTAGGACACGGTTTTATACTCGGCGGTTGGGGGCGCAACCTATTGCGCAACCGATAGGAGACGGTTTTATTCTCGGCGTCCGAGGGCGCACCCTACGTGACCCCCTGGTACGACCAGGACGCCGTCAACGCACTCACCGTGCTTGGGGCCCGCAAGTAGTACGAGGACGAAGCGTGGGTATCCAAATGCGTGCGGGGCTACGCCCGATGTGTGCTCGCCGTTTGGGCTGGCGGTGGGGCCCAAGCGGCGAGCTGTCTTCTGATTACTTCCAGGGTCTCTCCCTGGGTGCGTTCTGGTCAGGACTTCGAGGCGGACCCAGCCGCCGCGACGATGAAGGGTGATTAGCGGTATCGGTAATAGTTCCTTCTCTGACCCCTGCCCCTGAACCCCGTAAACTGAACAGGGACAGACCGCCCCGGCATTCCTATCGGCATACCACGAGCTGTTCTCAGAACCCCAAAATGCTCAAATAACAAAAGCCACGTTCTTGGAACATGAACCCTGGCGAAGGACCCAACCATCAGCACTTGTGAATGCCGCGTTGTGGGTACCGCTCTCGGAGGAGCTCCTTGCAGGGCCACGACATTCGTGAGGGGTGTGCCGAAATGGGCGGGGGGGCGCATGCGGACCCTGCAGCGGGGACCTTCGGTGAAGCTCCCTATGGGGCCACGAAGCGCTGCACTGGGTGGGGGGGGGCGCATGCGGGCGGTAGCACAGGGGCCGTCGGTGGAGCTGCTTATGGGGCCACGAAACGCTGTACTGGGTGAGTGAAAATGCCAATGTGGGTGTGGGCGTGGGGGGCGCATGCGGGCGGTCCCACTAAGGGCGTCGGTGGAGCTCCCTATGGGGCCACGAAGCGCTGCACTGGGTGTGCCAAGTTGGGTGTGCGGGACGCACGCGAGCGGTCCCACTGGGGGCTTCGGTGGAGCTCCCTATGGGGCCACAAAACGCTGTACTGGGTGGGTGAAACTGCCAAATTGGGCGTGTGGAACGCATGCGGGCGGTCCCACGCGGGGTTTCCGTGGAGCTCCCGATTGGGCCACCAAGCGCTTTATTGGGCGGGTGAAGATGCACAATTGAGCGTGTGGGACGCATGCGGGCGGTCCCACTGGAGGCTTCGGTAGAGCTCCCTATGGGGCCACAAAACGCTGTACTGGGTGGCAGAACATGCAAAATTGAGTGTGTGGGACGCATGCGGGCGGTCCCACTGGGCGCTTTGGTGAGCTAACTATGGGGACACGAAGCGCTGTACTGGGTGGGTGAAAATGCCAAAGTGTGTGTGTGTGTGCGTGTGCGTGTGCGTGTGCGTGTGCGTGTGTGTTGTGTACTGTGTGGTGTGTGGTGTGTGTTGTGTGTTGTGTGTGGTGTGTGTTGTGTGTTGTGTGTTGTGTGTTGTGTGCTGTGTGTTGTGTGCTGTGGGCTGTGTGCTGTGTGCTGTGTGCTGTGTGTTGTGTGCTGTGTGCTGTGTGTTGTGTTGTGTGCTGTGTGTTGTGTGTTGTGTGCTGTGTGTTGTGTGGTGTGTGCTGTGTGCTGAGTGCTGTGTGTTGTGTTTTGTTGTGTGTTGTGTGTTGTGTGCTGTGTGCTGTGTGCTGTGTGGTGTGTGTGTGTGTTGTGTGTTGTGTGATGTGTGTTGGGTGTTGTGTGTTGTGTGGTGTGTTGTGTGGTGTGTGTTGCGTGGTGCGTGGTGTGTGGTTTGAGTTGTGTGTTGTGTGTTGTGTGTTGTGTACTGTGTGGTGTGTGCTGTGTGTTGTGTATTGTGTTTTCTGTGTTGTGCGCTGTGTGTTGTGTGTTGTGTTTTGGTGTGTGTTGTATGTGTTGTGTGTGTGTGGTGTGTGTGTGTGTCGTGTGTGCTGTGTTGTGTGTGTGGTGTGTGTTGTGTTGTGTGTGTTGTGTTGTGTGTATTGTGTGTGTGTTGAGTGTTGTGCGGGTTGTGTCTGTTGTGTGTGTGTTGTATGTGTTGTGTGTGTCGTGTGTGTGTTGTGTGTGTGGTGTGTTGTGTGTGTGTGTTGCGTGCTGTGTGTGTGTGTTGTGTGTCTTGTCTGTTGTGTGTTGTGTGTGTTGTGGGTTGTGTGTGTGTTGTGTGTTGTGTGTTGTGTGTTGTTTGTTGTGTGTGTTGTGTGTTGTGTGTGTTGTGTGTGTGCTGTGTCTTGTGTGCAGTGCTGTGTGCTGTGTGTTGTGTGTTGTGTGTTGTGTGTGTGCGTGTGTGCGTGTGTTTGTGTCAGTGAATGTGTGTGTGGTGTGTGCGTGCAGTGCAGTGCAGTGCAGTGCAGTGCAGTGCAGTGCAGTGCAGTGCAGTGCAGTGCAGTGCAGTGCAGTGCAGTGCAGTGCGTGCAGTGCGTGCGTGCGTGCGTGCGTGCGTGCGTGCGTGAGCGCGTGTGTGTGTGTGTGTGTGTGTGTGTGTGTGTGTGTGTGTGTGTGCGCTTGTGTTTGTAATTGTGATTGTGTCTGTGTTTGTGTGTGTGTCTCTCTCTCTCTCTCTCTCTGTGTGTGTGTTTGGGGGGGAGGGCGCGTGCGGGCGGTCCCACTGGGGGCGTCGGTGGAGCTCACTATGGGGCCACGAAGCGCTGTACTGGGTGGGTGGAAATGCCAAACTGGGTGTGCGGGACGCACGCGAGCGGTCCCACTGGAGGCTTCGGTGGAGCTCCCCATGGGGCCACGAAGCGCTGCACTGGGTGCGCGAAAATGCTAAATTGGGCGTGTGGGACACATGCGGGCGGTCCCACTGGGGGCTTCGGTGGAGCACCCTCTGGGGCCACGAAACGTTGTACTGGGTGTGTGAACATACCAAATTGGGCGTGTGAGACGCATGCGGGCGGTCCCACTGGGGGCTTCGGTGGGGCTCCCTATTGGGCCGCGAAACGCTGTACTGGGTTGGTGAAACGCAGGGGGAGGGAGGAGGGTGAGGAGGAGGGCGAGGAGGAGAAGAGGAGAACGCGGGGCACCGTCTCTTCAAAACGAGGACCCAACACCACAGGATGGTTGGGACGAACAGTCTCGGCCAAACATGTACGAAGAACATTTTCGGGCAGACCACAAAAAGTTCTTAGAACAGTCCTTGGCGAGCGTGTAGGCAAGCCAGGGCGCTTCGCCGCTGCTCGAGATGAAGGGTGATTCGCGGTATCGGCATCTGTTCCTCCTCTGACTTCTGCCCACCCCTGAACCCCGTAAACTGACCGAGGACGCTTCCGGGGGCCCAGTTGGCCTGGCTCCTGCCTGGGCAGGCGCCTTCGGACCAATGCGCGGGCCATGGCGGCCAGACAGGGGTTCCTTCGGGATCCACCAAGAGGGGGGGTGACCCTGAGGGGGGGCACGAAATCGATCCGTTGGGGCACCGAACTGCCGCAAACAGATGCCCCCCGCATGCCCCGCCGATCGGCAACTATCAGCAACTGCCGGCGGCCTGTTTTGGGCGGTGCGGTGCCAAAACCGATCGAACTCATACGCTCTCCGCCCCCCCCCCCTTTGAGGGATCCCGAGTCCTGCCTGTGTACTGGCCGCAGATGATCGAATGGTGCCCAAGTACCGCGTGGCGATTGCCGAATGGGCCTGGTCGCGCAGACAGGATTCCTGCCTGTACGCCAGCCCCTGATGATTAAATGGTGCCCAAGCACGGCACAACTAGCAGGGGATGTCGACCCTTTTCCCAGGCTCCGCGGGTTTTTCGCACAGACCAGACATTTCGGGCCCCACCCTGGGATCTACGATGGGGGGGCGTGCCTCCTCGATAGGGGCGCGTCCGAATGGCCACCCAGGGGGGGTATCTCAGGTCCCCCCTATTTTTCTGAGCGGCCAAACTTTTCGGGCGGAGCGCGGGGATTGGGGAAAAACAATCGCCTGCGAACCTGTGCCAGCCGCAGATGAATTTAAAAGTGCGTAAGCACAACATAGCGCTAGCTGACACAATACTCCGCTGTGGGGTATTGCGCTGGCTTGCAAGAGCTGGCCGGGCTCCCTCCCGTCCTCTGGCGGCGCCTGTTCTTCCTGCTCGGCCTGTGTTGTCCCACTGTTTCATTAGCTCGCAGCTGTCTTCCTCGGTCGTGCATTTCGAAGTTCGACGTTCCGTTTTTTGGATCACAACACTCGCCCACGACTTGCTATACTTTGCTATTGAATGTCTGTTCACTGCATGCGTCCACACTTTGCCGTCGAGGCTGCCCAAAGCGGCTCCAGATCTGGATCTAAGACAGCATGCGTACGGTTCCTGTTCGGCCAACGTGGGCCAAAATGGCCGACGATGTCATCAGCTGGCCCAGCATGGCCCCAACATCGCCCCATGAGGCTCTGCGTATAATTCCCAAGAGGACAACACTCACTCACTCAATCTCGCTCACTCACAAGCCGTACGCGGCAAGGCGCGTGGACACAAAACAGACATGCAATGCAAGCTCACGCCGGCCCTCCAGCCTGACTCACAATGAATGTCCTCTGCTATTGCAGCAGCGTGTTTGGGAGGGTGCGCCGCTGGATCTCCCCAAGGGGGGGCGGGTGGGACCCCTCCTTCCCCGATCCGTCGTCGGGGACCCCCCCCCCCCTCCCCCCCCTTCCCCGATCCGTCGTCGGGGACCCCCCCCCTCCCCCCCTTTCCCCGACCCGTCGTCGGAACCCCCCCCCTCCCCCCCTTTTCAAAAGGGGGGGGGGATCCGACCGCCCCCCCCCCCCCCCCCCCTTTGGCAGCAACCCCCCCACCCCTCCACCCTTTCGCCACGCCGCCCCCTGACTCCTGAACCCGACCCCCTCCACCCCTACCCCTAGTCCTCACCCCACCCAAAACCCAAAATCCTAACCCCGACCACTAACCAATAGTACTCACTACTCATTACTCACTACCCACTACTGACTACTCGCTATTCGCTACTCAGTTCTCACTACCCCCTACTCACTACTCACGACTCACTGCTCACTATCCACTACTCACTACCCACCACACACTACTCGCTACTCACTATTCCCTACTCGCGACTCCCTCCTCCCTACTCGCTACTCAGTACTCACTCCTCACTACCCACTACTCAATACTCACTACCCACTAAGCGCTACTCACTACTCCCTACCCATTACTCACTAATCGCTACTCATTACGCACTCCCCACTATCCACTACTCACTACTCACTACTCATGCCCACTAAATCACTACTCACTACCCACTATTCGCTACTCGCTACTCCCTAGACAATACCGACTACACAGTACTCAGTACTCACTACTCGCTACTCCCATACTTGTTACTCAATACTCACTACTCACTCCCCGCTACTCACTACTCACTGCTCACTACTCCCTACTCACTAGTCATTACAAAGTCTCTAGTCACTAGTCACAACCCACTAGTCACAAGCCACTAGTCACTACGCACTACTTACTACTCACTAGCCACTACTCACTACCCACTATTCGCTACGCACTTCTTACTACTCACTGCGCACTACTCCCTACTCCCTACTCCCTACTGCCTACTCACTACCCGCTAATCCCTACTCTTTACTCACTAATCACTACCCGCTACTCACTACTGACTACTCTCTACTCACTCCTCACTACTCACTACGCCTACTCGCTCCTCACTACTCACTACTCGCTACTCCCTACTCGCTACTCACCACTCACTACCCAACTACCCACTACCCACTACTCTCTCTTCATCACTACTCACTACTCCCTACTTACTACGCACTACGTACTACTCAGTACTCAACACTCACTACTCACTACTCACTACTCACTACTCGCTACTCACTACTCACTACTCACTACTCACTACTCACTACTCACTACTCACTACTCACTACTCCCTACTCACTGCGCACTACTCGCCACCCACTACTCACTACCCACTACTCACTACACTACCCACTACTCATTAGTCCCTACTCCCTACTCAGTACTCACTACTCGCTACTCGCTACTCACTATTCACTACTCACTACTCGCCACTCACTACACACTTATCAGTACACACTACTCACTACTCACTACCTCACTACTCCCCACTCCCTACTCCCTACTATTCGCCACTCACTATCCACTACTCACTACTCAGTAGTCACTACTCACTACGCACTAACTCACTACTCACTATTCACCACTCCCTACTCCCAACTCCGTACTCCCTACACACCTTCTCCGGCGCAAAAAGGAGAAGCGAGAGAGGCCCCCCCTCCCCGGCTCCCTTCCTGGCGCAAAGGGGGGGAGGGGGGGGGGGGGGGCCTCTTTCCAGCGCCAAGAGGGGGAGCGGGGGGGGGTCCGGACCCCCCCCCCCTTTAAGGGAGGGGGGGGGGTCGGGAAACTCCCCCCCCCTGAAGGGGGGAAGGGGGGGGGGGGGGGTCCGGACCCCCCCCCTTGAAGGGGTGAAGGGGGGGGGGTTCTGGACCCCCCCCCTTTAGTGTATTCAGGGAGATCCACTGGCGCACTTTCCGTGGTTGGCGACCTTCCCAGCCCATTCGTTCCTCGGGAGCCCAGTCTAACTAACAAATCTCTTCGTGGCCGACGTGAGCGTTCCAGTGATGAAAACGCGTTTCTTCACTTTGTTCCCTTCAAATGCACGCACAACTCTCCCAGAACAGATCCTGTTGCTTGAGTGCATTGCAGGACGATGGTTTCCGACTGGCACTATCCAACACCAGTTTGTTTGATGCCGCGGCTTCTTCACCGCAGCCACCACAGACAAAGCACTCTAGTAGCATGTGAATGTGCTCTGGGTGGACAGTGTCAACCTGCGCGACGTGGAAATGGTGAGAACCCGAAGTCGTCATCACTTTCAGGACCAGGGATGCAGTTTTACACACGTCACAGGGCTCCACACGCACAGAGGCTCACAGACACTCACAAACACACACACACACACAAATACCGACACACACACACACACCACACACACATACACACATACACACACACAACACACACACAGGGTACCCAGTGGTCCACCCATCCGGTTTGCTACAGTGTGCAATATTTCTTGTTTTTTGGTCTTCGAGTTCTTCCTTTTCACTCAAGACGGATGGGCATGGCCCACGACAGTCCGAGATGCCCTCGAGATACCCCTGGATGGCCTGAGATGCACCGACGATCGCCCCATCCTGCGCACCAAATGCCCTCCGAGACAGCCAGCAGCCCCCCAAAGCGACCCCCAGAAGGCCTCCAAATAAGTCCCCAGGAGGCCCCCAGGAGACCTCTCAGAGGCCCCCGAGGAACCCCGAAGAGGTTTCCGAGAGCCCTCCCTAGAGACCCTGGGAAGGGGCCTCCATACGGGGCAGTTTTTAATACATAGGATTCTTTTAACCAAGGGATGTTCAAATCCATTATTGATTTATGAAAAAATATGCATGGACTCATTGTTGTCCTTAATACGAAACCCCTGCATTTTTCATACACGATCCGCACGCGGAGCATGTATTAAAAAACGGCACTGTAAGGTCTCTGGTGCACGACTCAGGCACGGCAGGAAGTGTGTCGAGGGCCACTCGAGAAGCATAGAAGAATAACAAAACGCCATAGACAGAAACGTTTGGCGCTCCGCGCGGGTTTCTTGGATCTGCGCTGGGCCCCCCTCCTTGGCGCACGGAGCGCGCCAGGGGCGGCGCCGCCAGGGGGGCCCAGCGCAGATCCAAGAAACCCGCGCGGGGCGACAACAGCTTACAAGTCGGTCGGAAGAAGTAGGTAGAAATATGGAGTAGGAAGGTAGATATAGTAGATTGGGTCCAGGTCCTCCCAGATAATAACAGGACGCAGCAACAGCATGCCGATTCCTGAAGTATGAAGGCGCTTGAAGCAGATGGGCATCTGGGAATTCAGAAATGCCTGCTTTCCACGGCCGGCGTGTATGCGCATCGGGTTTTTGTGAGAATTCGACGGCGTCTTCTGGCCGCCCTCGAGCTTGCCCCCCGAGCTTGCCCCCCGCAGGCCCTCCCTCTGCGCCGCTGCTCCGCCGCTCGCGCGCCCCCCCGGAGCGGCGCAGGCCCGAGGGAGTGGCCCGAGCCGCAGGAGAGGGGCCCCAAGGACAAACAGAAACACACACACACACGAGTCCCAGGATTCCCCATGATTTTGAATCTGTTCTGGGTGTTCGTCTTCCACCCCACCTCCCATCTTTTCCAATCTGTTCCTGGGGATCGATGGTTACTTGTGCGTGTGTGCGTGTGTGTGTGTGTGTGTGATAGTGTATGTGTGTGTGTGTGTCTTTCCCCCTCCTGATGTTCACGCGCCCCTACGGAGCGGCGCAAGCCCGAGTGAGTGGCCCAAGCTACAGAGCGGGGCGGAAGGAGAGATACGACCCTGGACTGGCGCTCTGGGCACTGGGATCGGCAGCACGGAAACATCGGCCAGGAGGGGTGCTGAGGAGCATCGGCCCCCCAAACCCCTCCCGGGGCCCCTCCGATGCGGCCCTCCATCCCGTGCAGATCACTTGCTCCTGGCCGCGGGCCCCGTTGCCGCGCCCCCGCGGAGGCTGCAGAGAGGCAACGCCACAGCAGACGACCCAAAAGGGCACCCCGGAACCTCGAGCCCCTGCCCGCCCTGCCGGCGCTCCTCGGGGCCCCCGACGGCTCCCGGCGCCTCGGGACAGCGGAGCTCCGGAGCGCACCATCGGGCCCGCCCCCGCGCGCGCCCTCAGAGCTCGGCGGCGCCGGCGGCGCTAGCGGCGCAGCGCCGCCGAGCCTCTGGCGCTGCAGGCCCCGCCTCAAGGCTTATGTCGGGCCTGTCCCCCCACAGGGGGATCTTCGACGAAAAATGAAAGATGCCCCAAAAATGCCCCCCAAAAATCAAGAAATATTCAAACAGTAGTTCCCAGACTATTTTTCCTAGAATCTTTTCACTGTGTTCGGGGGTATGTTCTTGATTTTTCGTCGAAGCTCCCCCTGTAGGGGGACAGGCCCCGACGCAACTCAAGGCCCTGGGCCCCCCGCCCCAGGGCGGGCCGCCAACGCCGCCGCCGCGGGCTCGCTCGGGGCTCCCGGTGCCGGGGGGCGCGGCCGCGGGCGGCCCCCCGGGGCGGGCCGCGCGCGCGCGCCGTCGCCGCGGGCTCGCTCGGGGCCGGGCGCCGCGGCGCGCCGCGCCCCGTGTGGTGGCTCGCCGCGGCGCGGCGCCGCGCGGTCGGGGTGGGCGCCAGGCTCCCCGCCGCGCGCCCCCGCGCGCAAGCGGCGCAGCGTCGCAGCAGCGACGCCGGCCGCCATGGGCGGGGGCGCGCCGACCGGCAGGCCCCGGGGGCGCCGCGGGGCCACGCGCGGGAGGGCAGGCACGGGCGGCGGCCTCCTCGCCCGGGGCGCCGCGGGCAGCTCGGCGAGCAGGAGGTTCTCGTCGAAGGGCGGGGCGGGCAAGTCCTCGTGGCGCAGGGGCCAGGAGAACGGCAGGCGTTTCCGCGGCGGTGCGTCGTCAACGTCGGTCACGGGCGCGCGCGGAGTCTCGAGTAGGGGGGGCAGAGTGGCGCCTCCTCCGGCAGCGCGCGCGGGAGGATGAAAGGTGCCGCTCGCCATGCCGAGAGCACGAGCGAAAAGATAATGGTAACAGAAAAGTCGCTGTAATCCTTGGGCCAAAAACGGCTGTGAGGCAGGAACAGGATCCAACTGTGATGAAGGGGGGCAGACATCACGAGAGGCCAACGTATCCGTACCCACGCCCTCGCGGTCTGGATTCTGGGGCGCGATGCCGCAGATGCGCGGTCGCGCGGAGACGTTCCACGCGGAGCATCCGCGAAACACAGCGCCCTGCATCTACGGGGTCGCGACCCACGGGCCCAGTCCGAGAGGCCGTGGATACACATTGTTCGTCGCCCGCGTCGAACAGGACACTTTTGCATGCAGGAGCAAGCCTAGGATGCAGATACACCTAATCCAATGAACCGGGCGATGGGGCAACTTCCTCAGTGGCGTCGCTGTGCGTTGCTAGGCATTGCTTGACATTGGTTTGCTTTGTTGTGTTTGGCACTGCTTCGCTTTGCTTGGCACTGGTAAGCACGACTTCGCATTGCGGGGCGCTGCTGTCCGCTGCCTTGTGCTGCTTTGCACTGCTCGGCAGCCAAGCAGCTGGGCAACCCGAGCAAGCAGGCATCTGGGCAACCGGGGCAAGCGGGGCAGCCAAGCAACTGGGCCCCCTGGCAGCGGGCAACGGGGCAGCGGGGCAACTGGGGAGCGCCGGGCAACCCGATGAAGGCTGGGCAACCAAGCAGCACGAGGCAGGCGTGGCAACCGGGCAACCCCGAGCATGGCCAGCCGGCGCAGTCCTCCCACCCACTGGTTCTTCAAGAACGCATGAACCCATCTGGCAAGCCTCTTTTGGAGAGCAACATGCAACAGTGAACACGGAGTGCTCAATTGAGCTTAAAGTAGACGCTGAACTTTGACACGCATCGATGATTCGGCTAACGACGATGGTCGCACACAATTCGCGACGAGCAAATGGAAACACCGTTACACGTATAAGCCAAACTTGAGATGCTTAACGCTCATCCCGCCTTCTTCGCAGCCTAGGACCAAGCGCATCGGTGGCCAACGGGCAATACATACATAGGCTGTGTTGCCGTTGTTAAGAAGTGCCCGTTGGTCTTGAGAAGTGGGGGCGCACGCTAAGTAGGAATGCAGTCCACGTAACGATTGGAACTCGCAACTCCTGATCTCCACATGGAGGGGGGTGCCCTGGGGCCCTGGAGAGCCAGTCTTCCTGGATGTCTCATCAAGGTTCGGGATGGTTCTGACGATGATGGGGATGGGCCTGGGCAGGGGCGGTGCCAATGCCAGCGTGCAACCAGCCTGCGTCCCCCAAGGCTCCTCCATGGCCTCTGGGAGGAGTGGCGCCAGCGGCTGGAGCACGATGCCGAGCGGCATCTTGAGCTTGTCCTTGGTGCTCGCCGAGTTCGGCAGGCGGGCCACCGTGCTGCGCAAAAAGTGCGCGGGGGCGTTGAACTGCTCCAAGTCCTTCTTGACCTCGGGGCTGCGGGCGCAAGAAAACGACGAGTCGGGAGGTGGGGTTGGGAAACCACGTGGAGACCACGTCAAGCCTGGGCACTTGTCTGCCTCGCGCGCGAGGGAAGCGACAGCCCCCGAGACAGGCGCGACAGCGCCTCCTTTCAAGCTGAGGTGGGAGGATCACGAGGAAGGCTCAAATGCTGGGCATTCACAATGGCATACCTGCCGCAGCTCAGCGAGAGTGGGAAGGGAAGCCGAGGGTTAGGAGGAGGGCTCGGTGTCCGAACGCTGTGTTGATTGTACGCTGCCGCCGCTCGCTGGGGGCCTGCTTCGGGGCTGTAGCTCGGAACTGTTCTGGGCGCGGTTTCGTACGTCGATCTCTGGTGCGCTCAACTGGGTGAGTGCGGTAAGAAGGCAAATGCGATACGAAGTACCAAGACCTTTGAACGATTCGCTGAAGAAGGTTGCTTCGGCAAGCCTATGCCATGCTCACTTGATTGCCTGGGTCAGCCATCTCTCGGTTGCAGAAGCGGGAGGTGGGGTGGGTGCGAATACTCGTCCGAGGGAAATCGAAGAGGATCATGACGACGTGGTCGAAGAAGAGGACGAGGAACAGGATTACGAGGAGAGAGGACCACAATGAAAAGAAAAGGCGGGTAAGGCAGATGAGGAAGATTGGGGCGGAACAGAGGAGGAGAAGAAGGAGGAGGAAGATGCGGGAGGAGGAGAAGGATGCGGAGGAGGAGGAGGAGGAAGAGGACGCCAATAACGAAGACACAGAGGAGGACAAGGAGGAGGACGAGGATGACAACGCCGATGATGATAATGATGATGATGCTGCTGCTGATGATGATGATGACGATGACGATAACGACGACGATGATGATGATGATGATGATGATGATGATGATGATAATGATGATGATGATGATGATGATGATGATGATGATGATGGTGATGATGCTGAGGGGAAAGAGGATAATGAGAACAACGACGAGGAGGAAGAAGAATAGGACCTCGCTCGCCCGCTCTTGCCCATTCGGTTCGATCCACTGGAACAGAACACGTTGTCGTGAACATGGGGTGTGGGGAGATGGGCGATCTACTGCCTATACATAACCCTGTACTTCGCGACTCCGCAGAAGAGCACCGGGCGATCGAGCAGGGGCACGTGACAGACGCAGCCGGTCGCTGCGCGGGGGCCTGGCCGACGGCTCTCGGAGGGCCACTTCCAAGAACGTTCGGGACAGAAGACACCGACAACAATTAGCCGCGGCTTTCCACTAGACTGTTCACTGCTGCTCGCGATCGCTTTGGCACGATCTTGCGTGTCAGAATCCCCTTGGCCGCTTTGCTCGCTGTGAGCTCCCCTCCGCTGTGCCTGGCCTGCTTGAGTACCAAGACTGAGCAGAGCTTCGCTGTGATCGTGAGGGCCGCCGTGGGGATCTCCAGAGGGGTCTTCATGTTCAGGGGGTGGCTGTCGTTCTGAATTGCCCCTCGCATGTTCTCTTGGGCCTGAGGGTCTTCTGGAACCAGCGCCTGACCGAGGAACTTGAATAAGATCTGTTTTTCTGAGGCTGGCCTGGCTTGTCGTGCGTATGGGGGCACTGGCGACTCCTTGACCCATGTGGCACGGCGACGTGCTCGGGCAGAAGTGCCTTGCTCAAGACCGCGAGCATTTCGAGCCAGAATTTCACGTTGGGGATCCCGTCCGAGGCGTCCTTGCATGGGCTAGTCCTCCAAAACGAGAAGCTGTAGGCTGCTTGGGGTGCTAGTGGGCCGGGGTGCGTGCTAGGGTTGGCTTTGCGCTCTTTCGCAAATACCTCGCACGACTTGCTGCAGCCCGCGATCGGCTGGCGCTTGCGGCCGGGCAGGGCGATCGACACAGACTAGCGTTCGGGGGGCGAGATCTGGCCTCGAGCTGGGCGACAAATGATCTCATCGTTGCGGACAGGTGTTTGTTTTTCATCTCCCCGTCCTCCTCCTCCGCCTCCGCCCCCTGCTTCGCCTCCTTGCGCTGCACCGATGTGACCGCGAGCGAAGCTGTGAGATCTATCGCGCGCCAGCCAAATCTCCAGCAATATCTCTCCCCCTGGCATGTTAAGACCCGCGCAAATTTGGTATCTAGGCTTTCGGAAACAAGTGCGGCCAACTGTCACTGCACCGACCTTGGAGACGCGCTGCAGCGGATATTCTGGAATTCTATCAGTACTCAATCCAGAAAAAACGAATGAACCAAAGAAATGGATTGCGCGTGGATTATTGAAGCCTTCGTTTCCGGTCCAGAAAATCCCGCACGAAATTCACCCCGAAATCCGAAACGAAATTATCCAGGACACCCTGGGCAAATCCCACCGTTTTCCAAACGAAATCCGCTCTGCGATGTTTACTCTATCACACTCAAACCCGGAGCGTCTTGACACGAAGCTCAGCACGTATGTTGGAAGCGCGGGCCCGGCGCGTTGCGCTCGCCAAAGCGTGAAGTCGGGCCTGTCCCTTCTACAGGCAAAATATGCAAAAATAGTCAAAACAAATACGGGGAGCACTTTTTTATAATTATGTTGTGAATCTGATTGGCGATGTTTAATCTGTCTTGCCCAACTGCGTTTCGATGGTCGCAATGAGGCTCTGGACGTGCGCGCCCCGCTCCCGCAAGGCAGCTTTTTTTCCTGGCACGTTCGAGCCAGACGCCCGCGCTAGGGAAGTCTTCTGACACGTGGGGCAAATTCGGGCATGTTCCTCTACTGGCGGATTTTGGGCGAAAAATATACAATCGTCAATTAAT